GGTGGGGAGGGCGAGAGCCTTACTTCCTAACTCTGTGATCGTCTGTATTTTCTCCAGTTTCTGCCACGGACGTGTTTCTCTTTTGCAATCAGGAAGAAATGAAACCAAGAGAGAAGTGTTTTGGTTTGTTTTTTTAGGAGAGACTCAGGTGAAGCTATTTCTACTCACCCTTAAGAACAGCTGACCGGGGGGCGCCTGGGTGGCTCAGTCGGTTGAGCGGCCGACTTCGGCTCAGGTCATGATCTCATGGTTCGTGGGTTCGAGCCCCACATCGGGCTCTGTGCTGACAGAGCCTGGAGCCTGCTTCCGATTCTGTGTCTCCCTCTCTCTCTGACCCTCCCCTGCTCACGCTGCCTCTATCTCTCTCTCAAAAATAAATAAAACATTAAAAAAAATTTAATAAGAACAGCTGACTGGGTCTGTGCCTCAGTTTCCTTGTGGGTGGCTTCATGGCTGGTGGGACACTCAGGGCAAGTTATCGATGGCTCTCAGAAGAGGAAATGCGCTTACCTGCAGTTCTAAGAGTTGATCATCCAGAAAATACTGCCGAGCCCCCACAAGCACGGGGGTGTGGGCCGCAGCCGGTCTGTGGGCAGGAACATGGGACACAACTCGATGGAATGCCGCACAGCTGTGACTCGATGGTGGAATACTACACAGCTGTGAAAAAGCACGAGGCTGCAGGAGGCCTCGAACATGCGGTTAAGTGAAAACCGCCAGGTACCCAACAGTGTATATTTCAGTACTGTTTGTAAAACAAACACAAAAATGGGAAGGAGAATGTGTGTGGACCTGTGTGTGGGTTCTGGAGCAACCCCTGGAAGGTACCGGAAGACATCTCTGAACAGGGGCAGGGCTGAGGGTGGGGAGCAGGAGGAAGTCTTCATTGGTTCCGTTTTTCTCCAGTTATTATTATGTATTAATACAAAATAGCTCAGGCCAACCAAGAAACCAGAAAGAATGACACCCCCATCTCCAGCCCAAGAAAGAAAAGACGATGGTGAGAACGGTCCTCAGTACTCACCCCTCCCCCAGCCCCCGCTAAAGGAACCGCCATTCCGAATCCGCAATTTATCCTTCCCACTTGCTCACTTAGCACCCCGCGAGTGGTACCGAGTTTTGCACTTTTTTATTCTGGGAGGGTCACCTTCCCCTCAGGGGTGTAGAAGCAGACGTTGACATTAAAAAGGCATTTTCGGGGGTGCCTGGGTGGCTTAGTCGGTTAAGCGTCCGACTTCCGCTTAGGTCATGATCTCGAGGTTCGTGGGTTCGAGCCCCGCGTCGGGCTCTGTGCTGACTGCCAGCTCAGAGCCTGGAGCCTGTTTCAGTCTGTGACTCCCTCTCTCTCTGACCCTCCCCTGCTCACGCTGTCTCTCTCTCTCTGTCTCCTAGAAATAAATAAACATTTAAAAAAATAAAAATAAAAAAAATAAAAAGGCATTTTCGTGTATTGTCCCCCCTCCAGGTCGCTCCTGGAGCTTTGGATTCCTGGAAAGGGAGGCTGCCCCCCTCGCCCAGCTCCCCCGGGGGGTCCGGGTGGCCCCGGGTGGCGGGGCAGAGGGAGACCAGGGCACAAACGCCCACGCGCGGCCTGCGTGGCTTCTGCGGGCCCGGGGCTCGGGGGCAGCAGGCTGGATGGAGCCAGGCGGCCTCCCGGGCCTCCTCGCAGCCGCTTTTGATAAAGCCCCTCTGTGCACGGGGCGGGGGGGCCCGGCCGGCTGGAGCCAGCGCACATCTGGAGGCCAGCACAGGCCCGGGGCGGCCGGCGCGGCTGACAGCGGCGCCACCCTGAGCCGCACGCCCGGCCCTGGGTAAACACGCCCGCGCCCACCCAGCGGCTCACCTTTCGCCCACAAGGCTGCCTTTCTTCTCGGACCCGGGCCGAGGCCGCCGCGAACATTCCTCCGGGTTCAGGGCAGAACGGGCTGCTGACCTCGCGGCTGGGCCGAAACCTGAATCCAGGCGCTGGCCGTCGAGGGGGGGACGCGGGGGTGGGGGGTGATTGGAGAAGCGCCGAGTACCCGACAGGGGCCCAACTCACTCCCGGCCCCCTGCTATCCTGAGGCCTGTGTGCTTCAGAGTGTGCTTAAGAGTGTGTGCTCTGGGGCTGAAAGACTTGGGTTCAAAGCCCAACTCAGCTGTGTGACCTTGAGCAAGGCTCTCAACCTCTCTGAGCCTCTTTTCCTCATCTGTAAAATGGGAATGATAGCAGGCCCTCCCCCTCCCCACCTGCCTGGCAGCTGATGTGAATATTAAAGTTACTGTAAGTTCTTTGGTCCGAAGAGTGCCTGGATAGTGTGACCACTTGGTCACTCATTCGGCAAAGCTGCACTGAGGGTGTCCCGTGCCACCTGCGAGAGACAGGGGCTCAGCTGTGGGACTGTTGCTCAGCTGAGCCGGGAGGGATGACCACCAGGAGTATACCCCCCCCACACACCAGCTTGTCCGACAGTCTGCTCCCATGGGATGAGGCTACTGCCCACCCCGGGCTCCAGGCTGGCGTGGGAGCAGGTAGTCAGGCCAGGGCTCCACACCCCTTTTCTGGGGCATCACAACCCAGAGCCAACCCGGGGCAACAGTGGGCCTGGGTCCTTACCGCCTGTCCATGATGTGGGCTCTCAGGAGCAGCAGCCTGGTCTCCTGACTTCCAGCCACGTGCCGTGTGGCCCGGAGATGCAGCCCCAGGGCGCACCCGACTCCAGGTGGAGAGCAGAGCGCAGATGCCTCCCAGCCCTTCGTTTCCTCACCTGCCTGGAGACAATACCACCGGTTCCAGTCAGGCCACGGTGTTGGGGAGACTCCATGAGAGGCCATAGGGAGGGCATGGTGCTTGGCACAAGAGAGAGGTCCGAGTGGAAGTCACAGCGGCTTCCTGGAGGACGCTGTGCTCTCCGGTGGGAGGAGAAGCAAGAATCAAAGGCATATTGGGGAGACAAGAAAGGAGACTGAGCACCTGCTGCATCTGCAGCCCGCACACCGCCCAGTGCTCCGCATGAGCCACATCACTGACTCTCCCTGCGATCTGATGAAATCTGTACTATAGCCACACCCATTTTACAGATGAAGAAACTAAGGCCCAGAGAGCAAAAATAGTTTACTTGTTCAGGGAGTAAAATCCAGACCCAGAATATGAATACAGGAGGCAATAATGCCTCCTTGTCTCCTTCTTTCCACACTCCCTCCTTCCATCTCTCATGCCCTCCCTTCCTTCCTTGGGTTTTTACTGTGCCCCCATTGTGTGCTGGATTCAGAGACAAAGCAAACCCAGCGCCAACCCTCAGGAGCCCCTTCCCCTTGTCTCCACTAACCTTGAACTGTCCTTGACCCTTCTGGGCTTCAGTTTCTCTCCTCTGAGCAATGGGCTCTGTCTTTACAGCTCCTTCTGGCCCTGTGTCCCCGCCTCACGGCGGGCTGAGGCCGGCTGGTCGGGGCCTCCCTGCCCCAACAAGATGGGGTAGGGGCCCTCCACCTGCTGCCCACCCCCCCGGTCCCCCGTGAACCTGCTCGCCAGGCTGGAGCCAGCCACCATCTGGAGCCAACGGGCTGTTTACGGAGCCAGGCGGCGGCCCTGGCCCTGACCCGGCCAATCTGGAAGCGATTAGCAGCCTGGGCTGGGGAGCATTTGGAGTTCTCATCAGTCGGTCGGGCCCCCCCAGCCCCCACACCACCCGGAGCCGGAGCTGCTCTGGGGGTCTCCAAGGAGCCCCTTTTCTTGCAGGGCACTGCAGCTCGGACCTGCTCCAAGGCCTACAGCTCTGAACACCAGCAGCGACAGCGGCGAGACGGGGCCACACACAGGCCAGGATGCAGGGGGGTGGGGGGAGTGGAGTGGATGGGGGGGCCTGGGGCCTTCCCGAAGGAAACCTCTTGCAGAATTGCTTTCTGGTGTTTGGTTTTGAATATACAGACAAGCACATAGGGGAAACACACACACACACACACACACACACACACACACACACAAACACCCCTCGAACAGCACAGAGGGTGGGTGGAAAGGGTGTGGAGTGAAAAGTCGGGGTCCCTATCCGCCCTCCTCCTGGCCTCCACTCCCACCGGCCGGAGAATTCAGCGATGCGGGTTTCTGGGTCCCCTGCAATGGTACGAGCGTCTGCACACAGCGTCTACTTACTCCTCTTGCCCTGTTTTTACAAGCAGCAGCCGACTTTACATTCTGTCTTACGCCTTCTTTTCCTCTCCCTTGGGTTAATCCGTATTTCTAGCATGACTACCGCTAATCATCATAATGTTAATAATACCAACAGCGGCAGCAAAGCTTTCTGTAGTACTTACTTCCTACGTGCTGGGCACAGTTCCGGACGCTGTGCGCGGATTAACCACTCATAAGGTTGAGGTGATCCAGTGGGCGGCTGTATTTTTCTCATCATCTCTATATTGTAGATGGGGAAACTGAGGCACAGAGCAACAAGGCACCTGCGGGGTTGCGAGGGGTCCTTTCCCTAAAGAGGCTGGATGGTCCCAGTCGGAGGGCCGAGGGCCATTCACTGCCCAACTGTCGTGGTGGTGGAGGTAACTGACGTCCAATCAGTCCCCCGGAGGACGGAGGGAGCGTCCCGGGCCTGCATCCGGGGTTTTCAGCTACTAGGTCTGTCCTAAGCCCTGCCCGTCTGCTCTCCTCTGATGGGTGGACAGGACTCCAGTGTCCCTCCTGGTCTCCCCACCTCCAGCCTCACCCCTCCGGTTCGGGCTCCATGCTGCCGCCAGAGCAAACCTTGTAAAACCTAAGTGAAGCCAGGCCTCTCCCAGCTCACCACCCACCTCTCAGGATAAGGTCCAACCCTCCATCCAGGCCACACCAGAGGCAGGTCCCCACACCGCCATGCCCACCTCACCCTCTGCCCCGTCTGTCCATCCGGAACACCCTCCCCGCTCCCTGCGCCTGGCTTCTCCTCGCCCTTCCAGCCTGAGCTCACAGCCTTCCCCACACCCCAGACCAGTCCCCCCAGAACCGGCCCCGGTGAACCTTAGCTTGGCTCACACTGTTGTCTGATGGCTGTGTCCCATGACAGAATGTCAGCTCCGGGAAGATAAAGGTCTTTGCCTGTCTTGTTCACTCCGGTATCCCCAGATCCTAGGGCAGAGTCAGGAACACAGTAGGTGCACAGAAAGAAATCGTTGAATGCACACATGCAGAAATGAATGAATGAACGAATGAATGAACGAGTCAGTGGAAAGCCTGGATCTGTTGACATAGTGGCTGCCCTGAGGGCAGGGGGGTCCTGCACTAGCCCCGGGGGAGGGGGAAACAAAGAGTTTATAAAGCCCCCAGGCCCTTTCTCATTCCTGTGCAGATGAGGAAACCTACCCAAGAACGTGGGGGCCTCTGGCCGCTGGGCTGGGAGCTAGGGTGGCAGCACAGAGCAAGGCGGGAAGGAATCCTGGGTTTTCCCAGCTGCGGGGGAGGCAAGCCCCACAGGAAGTGAGTAGAATGAACCCGAATTAGTGCCTCAGCCGCTCACAGCACCTCTGAGCCAGCTGCTGAGTCCTGGCACCACCATGAGACAGCTTGTTTAAAAGCTGCATTCTTGGGGGGCGGGGGGGGGGCGCCTGAGTGGCTCAGTCGGCCGAGCATCTGACCCTTGATTTCAGCTCACGTCATGATCTCCCGGTTTGGTTCGTGAGCTCCAGCCCCGCAGTCAGTCTCTGCGCTGATAGCCCAGAGCCCGATGGGATTCTCTCTCCCTCTCTCTGCGCCTCCTCTGCTTGCATGCTTGCTCTCTCTCGCTCTCTTTCTCTCTCTCTAACTCAAAATAAATAAATAACCTTTAAAAAAAAAAAGGTTGCATTCTTGACAGCTGCTGTCTCCTTGCCCCTGTGCTGACCATTCAACCACAATAACCAGCCTACTGTGCACCAGGCCCTCATCGAAGCATTTTACACACAGCGCTGAGGGGGGAATATTATACCTCCCGAGATACAGATGAGGAAACCAAGGCCCAGAGAGGCTAAGTGCCTTGCCCAGGGACACACAGAGTAAAGCCAAAGTAGCGTGAAGTCACACACAAGGTCACGGACACCAAATTCAGGACAAAAGCCCCTCAGGATGGAAGGCAGGGAAGGCACAGGCTCTTCCACAGGCCCTGCCACGTTTTCGTCTCGGATTGGGGACGTGGACGCTCAGGCACGTTGAAAATGGTCCGTCACAGCAACGTGCAGCCACGCGACACACAGTGACTAACAGTGGACACCGGCAGGCTTTGACCCAGCTCTGCGTGACTAGGGGCTGAGGCCAGCCTGGGCGTGGAGGCCCCTCCCGCCCCGCCCCCACTCCCTGCTCTCAGTGACGCAGCTGTGGTGGCATTTGGCAACCCCGGCTGCCCACAGTTACGACAGCCCGCATCTGTCAGCTGGGGGCGGGGAGTCAGGACCTGTCCCTGCCTCCTCCCAGCAGCCCAGCCCCGGAGTAGCCCCGGACACCTCCTCTCTGCTGCCCCCCGGGCTTTCCCCTTCCCCAAAGCGCTTTTCGCCACCTGACATCACACTTGTTTGCAGTGACCAGAAAGTCAGCGCCTCAAGGGCAGGAATCACGTCTGTGTCAGTCATGCTCTGTCCCCAGAGTAGTGAGCAGTTGGCTCAGTAAGCATTTGCTGAATGAACAAATGAAAAGCTAGATAAGTGAGTGGAAACCCCGCCCTCCCTCCCTCCCTACCTTCCTCGCTTCTCTTCTTTCTGCAGATAGTAATTAGGCACCTGCTATGGGCCAGGCCCTGTACTAGGTGCAGGGGACACGGCAGTGTCGGGAACAGGCAGACATTCCTGTCCTCAGGACACTGATGTTCTAGAAGCCAACACTCATCAGTGATGCCGTCATCCTGCAAACGAAATGCGTGGAGAAGGAGAGGGGTTCCTGGGGCCGCGTGCACCTGCAGGGGCGAGGTGGGGGTGTCTCCCTGATTCGGGGTGGGGGGGCCCTGCAGGGGCTCGTTCACACGTAGACAGCACACCTACTCAGCGCCAGGTAAAGCCGGACGAGCAGTGGGAGTGGGAAGGGACCAGGTTATGGGAGAGGAAAGCCTCGGGCGCTGAGCAGGGGTGTCAGGGCCTGACCTCGCCCTCCCAGCCCGGACTGGATGGTCCTGAGCAGGAAGTGAGGAGGAAGTGACGCCTGAGCCGAGGCCGAGGAAGAATATTCCCCCAGGGGCACCGGCTGGGGCTACACCCCTCTGCCCAGCAATACCCTCTCTGGCCTCACTTTCTCCTTTGTGCAAAGGAAGCGGTGCCCCCATGCCCACCAGCCCCCAGCAGGGATGCTAGAAGTTTCTCTGGGAGACTTTTAGGGGCAGAGCAAGGCACTTGACTTAAGTCCTGCAGAGTGGGTTGCTTTTCCCATCCGCCCCGCTAGGCTGGGAGCCCAATGGGAGAGGGCCCAGCACAGCCTGCACACAGTAGGTGCTCAGGGCGTGTCTGTGGGTCAAATGAGCCCCGAAGTCTCAGTTTCCTCATCTGTGTGATGCGGATAACACTGGTGTGGCCTCGGGGTAGGAACCAACCACTCTTCTCACTTCAGGGGCGTTCAGGCCTCTGTGGACCCCCAGAGTCGCGGTGAAGGATCCTCTCCGGGGCTGGGGCAGAAGGACCAGAGTGCGTGGACGGCACAGGCCTCTAGCTCCAGACTTTGAGGCGGAACCTGAGGTGTCTAGAAGGAAATGACCAGCAGCCTCATTTACAATGGAAGGAAACTGAGGTACGGGAACAGCGACGATAAACCCTGGTGCTTACCGAGCCCTCGCTCCAAGCCAGGCGCTGTGCGAAGCCCTCTGCCCGAGTTTTGTCACCCAGTCTCTTCAACAGCCTCCCTGTCGGAAGTGAATACTATGAACAGCGTTTTACACGCGGGAAAACAAAGACTCGGGGGGGTAAGGCAAGGCCACGCCGCCAGATAACAGGGCACCTGGGGCGGGAATGCAGGTCTGGTCCAGAACCCAGAGTCATAAACCCGGCACTTCCTGTGGGGAAGTGGGGGAGGGAGGGAGGGGATGCGCGACTCCGGGAGAGATGAAAATAAGCCTTTATGGGGTGGGGGGGGCGACCGAGGGTCATGGAATAAATACTTGCAAGGATGAGGGGTCCCTGGGGTGTCTGGAGGCTCTGTTGCTAAAGCATATGACTCTTGATCTCAGGGTTGTGAGTTCGAGCCTCACGTTGGGTGTAGAGTTTAGTTAAAAAAATAAGTAAATAACATCTTAAAAAAAAAAAGAAATAAAAAAGAATGAGAGGTCCCAGGTCAGTCCCAAAGTTCTACTTTGGATGGCCCAGGGCAGCTTGGAGGAACCCCAGTCTCCAGCTCACCCCCAGCAACCAGAATGTACTCTGCCTCATTCATTCATTCAATCAGTCAGTCAGTCAGTCAGTCAGTCAAGAGAAAACAGAAGAGAGGAAGAAATGAGACCAAACATATCCATGTAAACAATAAATATAAATGGATGGAATGGGTCTGTTAAAAAACAAAGACTCATGGGCACCTGGGTGGCTCAGTCGTTAAGCATCTGACTTCGGCTCAGGTCATGAGCTCAGGATTTGTGAGTTCAAGTCCCACATGGGGTGAGCGTGAACCCTGCTTCTCTCTCTCTTTCTCTCTCTCTCTTTCCCCTTCTTTCTCCCCCTCCTGGGATTCTCTCTCTCTCTACCACTGGCTCACTTGCAACCTCTCTCTCTAAAAAAAAAAAAAAAAAAAGAAACCCACAAAAAAAAAAAAAGACTTATATTACGCTAAGTGAAATAAGTCAGTCAGAGGAAGACAAATACCATACGATGTCACTCATATGTGGAATTTAAGAAACCAAACAGATGAACCTAGGGGAAGGGAAGGGAAAATAAGATAAAAACAGAGAGGGACGCAAACCATAAGAGACTCTTAAATACAGAGAACACTCTGAGGGTTGCTGGAGGGGCGGTGGGTGGGGGATGGGCTAGGTGGGGGATGGGCATTGAGGAAGGAACTTGTTAGGACGAGCACCTGAGCACTGGGCTAACGCCAGGGATGAATCACCGGGTTCTATTCATGACTCCAATACTGCGCTGGATGCTAACTAACTTGAATTTAAAAAAAAAAAAAAACAAACAACAAAAAAAAACCAAGGACTCTTAACATTGGATCAGAAATCAAAATTCATTCATTTATTTGTGGGATAAATATTTATCAAATGCCTAAACTATTCTAAGTCCTGTTTCAGATTCTAATGATAGAACCAGAAACTAAAATCTCTGTTAAAGAAGGGAAAACATGGGGAGAAGGGAATCCGGGGAGAGAGACCTGTAGGTGCAAAGGCCCTGAGACAGAGGTGAGCTTGGAGAACAGAGAAGCAGAAGGGGTTGCTAAGGCTGGAGAACTCACTGGTGAGTGGGCCTGGCTGGGGCGCGGCAGGAAAGGCCAGAAGGGCCAGGTGCCTGAGGGCATAAGAAAGGGCAGAGGTTGGGGTGCCTGGGTGGCTTAGTCGGTTAAGCGTCCGACTTTCGCTTAGGTCATGATCTCACGGTTCGTGGGTTCGAGCCCCGCGTCGGGCTCTGTGCTGACTGCCAGCTCGGAGCCTGGAGCCTGTTTCAGAGTCTGTGACTCCCTCTCTCTCTCTGACCCTCCCCTGCTCACACTGTCTCTCTCTCTCTCTCTCTCCTAGAAACAAATAAAACATTTAAAAAAAAATAAAAAAAAAAAAGAAAGAAAGGGCAGAGGTTGCGGCCCACGCACAGGCACCGGGAGGGTTCAGATGTATAGCTGCTGGGTGCCAGGTCCTGTTTACATAGAGCAGAGGGTCAGTGACCAGCAATGCTAGCCAGACTCTTGACCATTTCCAGCCAGGGGCCCTTCTTGCCCTGAGGGGAGCCAAGACGGTTCAGCACAGCCTCTGCTCGGGGAAGAAGACCCACCACCTACTGGGTGCCAGGCTCCGCCACTGGTGGTTTCCATTTAATTCGCTCATAAGTCCTGCCATCGGGTTAGATTTCTCCCCATCTTGCAGAAGGGAAAACTGAGCCTCCGAGAGGTAGAGTGAGCTGCCCAAGGCCATGCAGTGCGCGGCAGGGCCAGGGTGTGGGCTCAGGGTATCTGACCCTCCACATGCTTTCTTGACCCTGCAGAGCTGCTGCCTAGGAAGTGGCAGCGGGGAGCCCTCCACCGGCTGTGTTCTTGTGTGGGTCCTCTGCCCTTAACTGCCTCAGTTCCCCGTCTGGGACACTGCGTCAGGTCCGTGTCAGAACTTTGATGACTCCCTCCCTTAGGGCAGTGGAGTTCCCAAAGTGCTGAGCTGGCATTCCCCATTCTACCTCACAGTGACTCCACGTGACAGAAGAGGAAACTGAGGCTCAGAGGGGGAAGTGATTCTCCAAGATCTTGACCTCGGGCTCTCCTGAAGCCCTGGGACCTTGGTGGAGTCTACTCACTAGATGGTAAGAAGGGGCCACCCAAGGCTGCAGCGGCTTTGGGGTGGGGGGGTGGGGGCGGCCAGGGACAAGGATATACAGACCATAAGGGAGAGGAGGCCTGAAGCCGGGGCACTAGCCCCCAGCCTCTGCCCCCCACTGCCTCCCGGGGGACGGGGGGGCTTGGCCCCTCAGTCCCAGTTATTGCCTGAGAGCAGGGAGGGGCCGTGGGAAGTCTCCCCACGTCTTCTCACTCAGGTCATGCCCTAAGTCCTGCCCAAAGAAGCAGGAAATGCCAGGCACTCCACCACCCCCACCCCCACCCGGGCTGTGGGAAGGCTGTGCCTGGGATTCTGGGGCTTCAGCACCAGCCCAGCCTTTGCTGGGGATCTAGGCCCTACTAGGGCCCGCATGACCTTGGACAAGACCTTTCCCCTCTTGGGGCCTCAGTTTCCCCCTCTGTAGTCACAGGCTCTGAGTCAGAATTCTGGCTGTGTGACCTCAGGCAGGTGGCTGTCCTCCTCGGAAGCCCAGCTCCCTCTTCTGTAAAACGGGGGACAGCGCACACAGCGCCTGCTCCCTCAACAGAGCCCTTAGCGCCCCCGGCAGGGGCTTGATGGGGAAGGCTGGCCCAGATCCCTGGGGCCCTCTGGGAAGGATGTCCAGTCTGCAGAAGAGGCAGAGCTGGGACACTGGCTGAGGTGCAAGGAGTGAATGACCTGATTCCCACTCATCAGCTGTCTGAGTTCTCCCCGGCAGCTCACCAACTTCCCACCTCGCTCAATTTCACTTTCCTCCTTCATGTATTGAAATAACAATAGCACCTACTTCCCGGAGCTGGGTGAGGATCCACTCACACATTCCACAAATACTTATTAATCACCTACTGTTTTAGGGTACAACTAGGAACAAAACAGAAAACAAAAACCAAAAAAAACGGCCCTGCCCTTAGGGAGCTGATGTCTGCGGGGGGGGGGGGGGGGGGGGGGGGGGGGGGGGGGGGNGGGGGGGGGGGGGGGGGGGGGGGGGGGGGGGGGGGGGGGGGGGGGGAGTCAGGGCGCATCTGGATTTACATAGCAAGTTAGAAACGGGAAAGAGCAGGGAAAGGCAGCCGTATCGAGGGGGTTTGGTGGAAGGGTGAGTGGTTGGGTCTGAGAGTGTGATGGGGAGGGGTGGAGAGTGGGGGGAAGGCCGTGTTGGACTGTGGTCCTGGAGCCCCCCTACCCCGGGGCCCCCAAGGCCTGGGAAATGCTTGCATGATTCACCCAGGGCCTCGGGCTTTGCGCTTTGGCCCAGACAAGCCTCCGCTTGGCCTGGAAATCCTCACCTCTGGTGTCTCCTCGCCCAGGCCTGCGGAGAAAGAACAATTGAGGTGCCTGGACCCCGGCCGGCTCCGTAAGCCTCTGCCAATCCTGCCGTCTGGGGCACGACTTCTCCGCCAGGATGCCTGAGGAGTTTTACCATTATTTTAGCTACAATTATGAATATGTAATAAAACTCCACACGCTAAGGATTTTGCACTAGAGACTATCATTAGCCCCATCTGAGAGCTGAGGACGGTCTG